AAGCGAACTAATGGTCTCCTGCAAACTCCACTCCCCTTTCGCTCCTCTTTTATTCCCTCTTGGAGGAGCCATTCCTGGTCCACCTGTGGTCTTACTCCCAAGTTGGCCCCTGCTCTTTAGCTGTTCCCTTCGTCTGGCCATTCTGTGCATGCGCACACTGGGAACAGGCTCCAGCTGTTCGTCTGCCTCTCTGAGGTCTGACTCTGAAGGCAGCTGATAGGTGGCATACGGCTCTGGCCCCCCATCTGCCTCCGACACAGAGCTCTCATCCGAGCCTTCCCCAGACTCCAGGACTGACCCATCTTCCTCCCCAACCTCCTCACTGTCCGAATCTGCTGCCAACTCTGCTGATGGGCCACAACAGGTTGTACGTTGATTCCCTGCAGCTATGTATAAAACAACAAGCTTTGAGGATACGACTAAGGCACAAGGTGAAGTTTGAGAACTCACCACTAAAGGATGTCACGTTTACCCATTTTCAGTTTAGAAATTCATGAGATTTCACACCCTACAGCAGCTGGGTTGTGTAATGCAGGAGGAGACTCATTTTATATTCACTTCAGGCTGTTTCCAGACTCCCGTTATCCTTCCTCACAGAAAGGAGGTATTTGTAAAAGCCAAAATCAACTTTGCTGCATTCAGACAGTTTTACACATTTCAATCCATTCTCTTCAACACACAAATGATCTCTTTTTGGAAACTCGTTTTGAAAAAAAAGCCAGTATTTGCTTTTTGGGAATCCGGAACTTAGCTGGGCCCTTGAAAGAAAGTTTTGTCTACCGTCGGTTTATGGCAAGGGAAGCCAGCGGGAAAGTGCATTTGAAAATAGGAATCTTGAAAGTTAAGTCAACTTACCTTATGAAATGCTTGGAAGCTAACAATTAGATCATCTCAAAAAAGGCAAACTACGCTATCACAATCTGCATTTTTTTTCTCCTCTCCCTCTCTTTCAGTATCTGATGCAAAAAATTCTGCAATGGGATTAAAGTTAAGATATCAGCACATTTTCAAGTCAGTCAGCCCAACTCACCAGTGGGCAATTCTTTTTAAGTCCTGAGGAGAAGGCTAAAAACTTAACTTTCTATTTTATTTTATTTTTTTAAAGGGGAAGTTGTGTTCATCCTTGTCAGGTTCCCCTGAATTTTTTTTTCCAAGCCCGAGAGCAATAAAATATGACATGCAGCTCTCCATATTTTTCTTATTTACGTCTCTTTTCTTCTTCCTGGGTTGAAGAGTCACAAAGCCACTGTTGGGAAAGCTAGGAGGAAAGTGCACCAAGTGTTAAAATACAATCGTAATACTCAAGATCAAAGGGAGGAAAAAAAAACAAGGTAATGTATACGGAGTAAACAATTAAAAATCATTTTCTTTTTTATTCTACATATGTACAAACAAGAAAAAAAAACTAATCTGAATGGGAAAAACATAAATAGAAATGAGAGGTGCTTTCTTCTTTTTAAAAAAAGTAGTTCTTGAAGTTAACTGGGATTTTGTTCTCATGATGGTAGTGGTGTTTTTTTCCTCCCCCCGAAAGGGTCCTTTGGGGTTTTTTTTGGATTAATTCCAATCCTTAAAAGGATTCCAACTTTCTCTACTTTGATCCAGAAGCTGGTCCCAACTGCAGAGAATATTCTGCAACAAAAAACAGTAATCGGCGTAGCCTGATGCTTTTTCGTTCCCCCAGAGAACACAAACTCCCTTCCTTCTGNATTCTTGGCCAAGCCTGCTGGGGATGTTAGGATGTGTAGTCGAAGTCATAAAGGAGTCCAAGGGGAGAAGAAATAGACTACAATATGAACTAAAATATCTGCTTTTTTTTTTTTTTTACAGTTGCTAATATTCTTTAGGAACCATCTTACACATATTTTCACCTACGTTCTGCTATAATCTGGAGCCTGGTACTCTTGTCATCGAAATTGGTTTATTAAATTTGTTTTTTTCCTCTTTCCCGGAGCTGTCCAAAATGGCATATATAATAACACCCCTCCCTCCAATTTCCTTGGATCGCTTCAAAACAGAGGAGCAACTAAAATTTTATAGCCAAGGCCTTCATCATTTCTACAATTTAGTAAAAGATCCCAGCATATAATGAAATTCCTGGGCTCAGTTATTTCCGCAAAGCAAACCTTGCACAAAACAAGTTTGCAAATTTCACGCACTGCCTCTGTTTTCCTGAAAAATAAGACCTCCCCGGATAATAAGCCCCGTCGGGCTTTTGAGCGCAGGCACTAAAATAAGCCCTCCCTAAAAATATTGCGACATAGCAGCAGCCATGAGGTGACCATGCTCGCCGCCTCCTGCACCTCAAAAATAATAAGGCCTCCCCAAAAATAAGGCTTTATAATAAGACCCTGTCTTATTTTCGGGAAAACAAGGTAAGATTAGAGATCATATTCTCCTCCAAATTACAAGCTAGGTTTTCTGCCCAATTTAGGGAGCTGCGTCAAGAAGGAAAAGATCAAAGGAAGAATTCCTTCGTTAAACCTTTGCCTCTGTTAGGCATTTTTTTAAAACTTGGGTCAACAACTTTGACAAGAATTTGCCAACTCAGGCATAGTTTCTGGAAAGGAACAGGACCGTTGATCCTTAAGGAATTTCACCAGAAATTCACCCTTTTGGGCCTTCTGCTCAAATAAAGCATTTCCATGCTGATATTTACTGTTGCTCGCGAACACTTTACACTTTCCTTATTGCGATCATATAATTAGAACACGCAAAGACATGTGTTTGAGGCTTACTCGTTTCCCAGCAATGAAATGTAGCTGGCTGGGAAATTTCTACGNTTAAAATCCCGGGGTAGGTCTGTAAAAAGGCAAGCAGCAAGAAAACACCCAGAGAAGAGAGTCTGTGTGGGGAAATCACGGGGCACGCGTTTTAAAATGTAAATTAACATTGTTTTAAGGTCAATCCTAATCCTCATGAAGGCAGCATTATCTATCCAAATTCTTGGACTGGCCACCAGTTGATCTTCCTCGTGCCAAATGTGCAGTCCACTCCACGGCCGTTTACAAAGTATTATTTTCACTACCATCCAATCAACTGAAAATGTCCTTCTTCTCTTGGTGTTTATACATTCAATATTTATTTTCTGGACATCAACTGTATCTCCTCCCCCCGTAGCATCGATGCCGGTGGTTTCTCAGTACTTTAAAAAAATCTCAGCAAATTGGAACAGACTGAATAGGAGATGATGTGTATTTTACCTTGTAAAAACATCAACAAAAGTGATCCCCCCCCCGCTTCTTAAGTTGGCTCCGTCTTTAGAGGATACAAAGAGGCTGCTTCATATACCAGTTTTACATGCCAGAAGAGGAGAAAGGGCTAAAAGTTTTGAGCTGTTGGGATTCAGCTCCATCCTCAAGTTTCCTCCAGAAAGGTAAACTGGCCCGTTACCTTTCATAGCTAAATTCAAACTTGTAGCCATGACCAAAAAATCAAGGTTTGCGGCTTATGGATTAATTTGTCTGGTGCTTTGTTAAATTCGGCCGCCAAAACCTTGCTTTTGTGTTCAGGGTAGGGTCAAATGAGAAATGAATGAGTGGTGACATTTCTATCTTTTCTTCTTGGGCATTTTAAAGTGAAATCCTGTTTTTTATTTTATTTTTTATTTTATTTATTTTTTCCTAGGCTGCAAAGATCGACTCTTTATATGCCCATCATGGAGCCGGAAAGGTTACTGTCGAACGCGCCAACGGTTTATGAAAAAGCACTGTCCATACAGCTGTGATTTTTGCTTGGGTAACTCTCACATCTCGCTTTTGTGGCAAATTGTGTAGTAAAAAAGGGCAATTGGTTCTTTAAGCAAGTATTTCTCAACTTTGGCAACTTTAAGCGGGGTGGACTTCAATTCCCAGAATTCCCCAGTCAGCTATGGAATTCTGGGAACTGAAGTCCACCCCTCTTAAAGTTGCCAAAGTTGAGAAATACTTGCCTAAAGAATCAATTGCCCTTGTTCCTTCCTACTAAAAACTAATTATCTTATAGCAACTTTGGCAACTTAGAGAGGGTGGACTTCAATTCCCAGAATTCCCCAGCCAGCCATGGGATTCTGGGAATTGAAGTCCACCTCTCTTAAAGTTGCTATAAAATAATTAGTTTTTAGTAGGAAGGAACTGCTGGTATAATATTTTCCCAAGAGTTTGGGAATCTCTCTGCATCATCTAAGCTTCTTTGGGAAATTGAAATTTGTTTTCTTATTTGGGAGGGAAGAAACATCCTCATTTACTCCATATCTGGCCTGGGCGGGTTGTTGTGACATGAAACAATGCCAAAGACAAACAACAAACTATTTGCAGAGCGAAATCGATCCAACATGCGAAATAAATTTTAGGAATTTAGCAGATTTAACAGATCAAAATGCAAGCCAGGGCATAGTTCACTATTCTGGACCACACATCACTTTTTAAATTTTTTGGGTGAGACAGTTGTGTTAGTTCCTGTTTTGATTCTGAGCTGATGTGTCTGTTCTTCCCACTTTTCCTCATTCCGATGGCAGCGTTCCCTTTTCCGACAGTGATCCCCACCCCGCCACCCCCAAGGATGAAGACCAGGCTCGTCCCCGAAGGCCGCAATGTGACTTTCCGATGTGGCCAGAAAATCATTCACAAAAAGGGGAAAGTTTAGTAAGTTATTTGCACCTGGATTTTTGGGGAACTCTTGAGATGAATGCAAGAGAGAAAGTTTTTAAGACTAAAATGTCCTTATTTTTTTAAAAAAGGATTGGCATCGTTTCATAGCTGCCCATCCTACAGACTAAAAACGATCTCCATGTGGGCTTTTAATTAAGCACGTTGTGTGGGCTAACGAATTGATTTTTCTTTTTCTTCTTTCTTTCTCCTTTCCTTTCCCCATCCTTCCTGTTTCTCTTTGTCCTTCCTTCCTTTTTTCTTCCTGTTTCTTTTTTCTTCCTTATGGTTTCTTTCTTTTCCCTTCCTTCCTGTTTCTCTCCTTCCTTCCTGTTTTTTTCCTTCCTTCCTTTTTCCTTCCTGTTTTTTCTTCCTTCCTTTTTTCATTTTCCTTTTTCCTTCCTTCCTGTTTCTTTCTCTCCTTCCTGTTTTTTTCTTTTTTCCCTTTTTCCTTCCTTTCTTTTTTTCCATCCTTTTTCCTCTCTCTCTTTCCTTTTTTCCCTTTTTTCATGCAGTTGGTATAAGGAGAAGGAATTGCTAGAATATTCCTATCCTGGCTACCTGTTTCTGAACGGCGACCACATGAGCATTATAGCCAACGCCATCAATGAAGGAACATATACTTGCATCGTGAAGAAAAAGTCCAAAGTCTTGACCACATATTCTTGGCGAGTCAAGCTGAAGCATTAATGTGGACTGTGTGAAAGGACTTACAGACCCCCCAAGTCCTTCTGTGTGGGTCCACTTCCTCACCTCTGTTGCCGCATTGCACTTTCAACAGCCGATCCGCACTCACAAAAACCAGTCCTGCAAAAATACTGGTGTCTTCCCTGTTTTTTTAATTCTTGGCCAAGCCTGCTGGGGATGTTAGGATGTGTAGTCGAAGTCATAAAGGAGTCCAAGGGAATGAGAAAAAGGCAACAATATGAACTAAAATATCTGCTTTTTTTTTTTTTNGAACCTCTTCTATAGAAGAGGTTCTAAAAAATTTTGAAACCCACCACTGATGCCGACCCCCTGATCTATCCTGACACACCCTTTGGTGGGTAAAGTTACTCCCTTTTCGCACAGGAAGGATTTTGTGGCTCCCATTTTTTTCTTTTCTGTGGGAAACGGTCCAAGTGGCCCTTTGAGTGTTTAAGGTTGCCGACCCCCTTGTCTATCTGGAGACCCCCCCCCTTTGATGGGTAAAGCTACTTCTTTTTCACATTCAAATTCAGAATACGGTTTCTTCTGGAATTTCCAATTAGACACCAAGCAAACGTCGTGATTCATCTCTAAAGAACTGGTTCGTCAATTTTTGACATTACTAGCATAATTAGTAGGCTACAGCAAATTAGAAATGCTCCTCAATATTAGGCCTTCGTTAACACATTTCAAAACAAAATTACCTTAATGCAAAGCCCACGCTTGATGCATACAGCTTTCGCATTTTCTCTAAGACGTGTGAAAGGCATGTGCTAATTGCTGTCGATTTTAAACGGATTAGGATAATTAAGTGCTGAAAGGGTATTGATCCAATCTTGCTCACTGTCGGCATGGTACGGATGTTTAATTACCAAACGACAATCCATAATCAAAACGATTTGGTTGCCTTTTTTTTTTTAAACAGACGTGTATTTCAAAACGCTATTTCATGGGAAGCTAAATTCACAAACTTGTGATTGGGAGCTTAAGTTTGAAATACGATGTTTTGAAACTGTAACGTCCAGTGGCTAAACCTGATATTGGTTAATGTTTGTAGAAGAGATGGTTTGCACAAGCTAGTCAATTCGAAAAATTAGCTTAAAAGATCAAGGGCAATTGAGCCAAAAATTTTAAAAGCTATTTAATATCATCGACAGGAGTGGGACAGTAGCGTGTTTCAAACTAAGCTATAAAATGTCATTATCGATTAGTAATTGCGATGTCACCGGTTAATCCTCTCAACCTGAAAGCAAATGTATCCATTAGCTAAATAATATTAGATATAAAATTATTTCAATTAAGCCTTTTCAGTTTTCTCATCCTTACCGGGAATTTGGAAGTTCTATTATAACAACAATAGCATAATACAGGGTGAAAGATTCATAACAGCAGCAATATAATAAAACATACCATGAAAGCTCTATTGCTATATTTATAATAANCATTTCTAAAACTAAATAATGTTGGGCTAGTGCTTTAGAAACTGAAAATGGAAATGGATGTCATTCTAAAATGGCTTACAGTGCAGATATTTCATTCCCTGCCTTCCAATTTTTGCGACCCTCTCTAAGTGAAGGGGGGAAATTGCTCTTCGCTTAGAATAAATCCTCATTCAGCCAATGGTGGAAGCATAATGGGCCAATCTGTTATTGCAACTGCTTCTTTAGACCCGAGTGTACCATTATTGGCTAATCATATTTTCCAGGCTATGCTTGCAGCTGGCCTCCTTCAGCTCGGAAAGCCACCAATGAAAATAGGTCACATTCCACAACGGGAATGACACGAGGCTCATCAAAAGCTCAACCCAGTTTGGATGACTTGGGAGTTGGACCCGTCTCAGAAACATGGAGGAGGATGCAGATTTATTTATTTCTTTGAACGTCCTTGCCCTCGCATTGCGAATGCAGCCAGCTCTGCCTTAACAGCAACATAATGCCATCAATTTCCTAGGCTCTTCCTAAAATGTGATAAAATGGAGCAGAAGGTCGGCACTGCAAAATTGCTCCCTCTGTCTTTCTGGCTGTAAATTTAACACGGTGTCAGGCCGGATAATAAATTTCTGATTAATGCTTTAAGTATATAACAAGCTACAGTAGATCGAAAGGTTTCGGGTGCTAAACTGAAGAGAATACAAGGTTGCTGATTATCTTGAGTAAGCTGAATGCTTGGACAACAGATATGAATTTCTTCATTCTTTTAACTATAAAAACTTGAGCCATTCATCTATGAATGCTAACTGAATGGTCTTATTTGTCCTTTGCATGTCTGTGAAACCACCCCTCTTGTCAAGCTAAACTGCTAATCGGATTCTTCATTCCAGATGTTTAAGTAACACCTGTGAAATCTAGTTTTAAAAACTCACTTAACATCCATTCTGCTAAACTTACTGGACTGATATCTCAACTGCAGGTAGCCCTCAACCGACTANATTTTCTAACTGCCCACCAGTTCCACAGTAATGGTGGTTTTATGAAAACCTAATGAAAATGTTTTTAAACAATGCTATGAAATTTTTTAAAAAGTCAATTAAATTTTAAAAAAGGAAAGTGCTTCAGTATCAGACAAAACCCCTACCGCCCACCATGAAAGCTGGAATGTCCACTAGTGGGCGGTAGGGACCAGGTTGACTACCACTGACTTAGCCAGATCATGTTCTTTTCACCTTTACCAACATAAACAACCAGTAAGAATTTTATTGAATACTAGCCAATAACCCGGTGTTGTCCGAGTATTTATTTATAGGGGCAAAATGTCAGGACCAAACGTAATTTCTAATGTTGGATTTTCCCCCTTACCAGAGGGCGCCCCCTTGTGGAGTACTGTGAAGCCGTTACCATGACAACGCCACTGCACTGTACAGTGGAAGCTATTTGAAGGCACAACAGGCTGTATCTTAACAGAACACTCACCCCGAAGGGTGTTAGAGGTGTCTTACCATGCCAGTTACCATGGCAACTCCACTGCTGTACAGAAGAAGCTGTTTTACAGTAGTACAGTAGAAGCCATTTTAAGGCACAACAGGCTGTATCTTAACAGAACACACATCCTGAGGGGTTTTAGGGGTGTCTTACTCCCACAGTATTTGTTTCCAAAGAGTAAGTCATCTGTGTACCAAGTTTAGTTGAAATTGCTCACGGCGTTCCAGAGATGCTGGAACACACACACACACACACACACACACACACACACACACACACACACAGCCATTTTATATGTACAGATAATTACAAATAGCTGGTTTGGTGACCGCTTTGAACAACACAATCGTTCAATGATGAGTGTGATTAAAAAATAACTTTACAACTTTAATGACCTTCAAATTTATGACCTCAGATCTGTAAAGCAAAGGGAAGCTGAAGAAAGATCTATAAGCACAGTTACTGTTTCACTTAGGGACTGCTTCATTTAATGAATGAATTGCCTGTCCCAACTGTGGTCACTAAACAAGGACTACCTGTAACCAATGAGAGATTATAGCCTTATATTTTACTGATCCTGTGCTATAATTTGGCTTAGAATGGGCACTTAGTATGGCATTTTTATTCGCTTATTGTTTTTTTTCCCACTTCTTTTTTGGATTGGGGATAAAAGTCATTCCCATTTATGTGGGAGAGGGGGGAAACCAATTATTTTTAAAAACAATATTCACAGGGCCTTAAGCAATACCTGATTTCCCAATGTCATGTAATATGACGACCGGCCACACGCAGCCAAATGTATTTTAAAAAGAAATCAGAGTGAGGTTGATTAATCACGGAATATAATTACCGAATCAAAGCGAGTCTTAATGTGGAACACAGGAAATAAGGATCAAGGTTAATACCTATTCTGAAGAGAATTTACATAAATTAGCCTCCGCCAACGAACTGTGAAACTCATTTTACCAATTTGTGCTACAGGAGATCACAGAAACCTGAGATTAAAAATATATACTTTAGCTCTACGCTTTCCGCAACATATTTATAGCATGTTACGTTCGCCTTGAATCAAAAGCATTTATGTTTTCCAAACGCCGACTATTAATTTTTGCCTTTCCAATTTTCTTTACAATATTTGCCCAGACAACCTCCTGCAGCTGATTTTTCTTTTAAAACAAAAAAAGGGGGGGAAAAGCTATTAAACACAGCTGGGGAAAACGAAGCCGCGTTCATTTTTAGGTGGGTTTTTTCCCCCCCCTCCATTGTTTTAACTACTCTTTCAACTGACTGGGAACAGGTCTTCGAGGTTTATTACGGAGCTGGTGAGTTTTTTATTTATCAGACGCCTGGCTTTTCAAAATAAGAGATGGCAACGTATATATATATATAATGATGCTAAACTAACATCATCATCAACTCCGAACCCCGTAATAATCAACACTCAAGGCTGGGAGTACACATTGTTCAAAATGCATGAGATCAGAACAGAGCAGGTGCTAAGCTGGCAGGTGGCAGGAGATACAAAACGGCATGTATTTAGCAGCTATAAAAAGAACTTCATTCAAGAGCTTTATTAAGACACAATCTCCTCTCCGGACCTTCGTTCGTAACGGGGCGGCAGAGAGAAACCAAAGACCCGAGAACTGTCTTCAGCTCAACATTAGGTTTAGTGTCCCGTCCCCTTGTTCTAAACCAGGGGTGTCGAACACGATTTCATTGAGGGCCGCCTCGTGGGGAGAGGGCGTAACCAACTGGGTGGGCGTGGCCAGTTTGACGGCACTCCTCAAACTGCCGGCAGGTTTCCTCTTCGCATTGGGTAGACCAGGATGGCTCAGCGTGCCGGATCCAACCACATTGCAGGGTGGATCTGGCCCGCGGGCCTTGAGTTTGGCACCCCCGTTCTAAACAGAAGACATCCTGGTTAGCAAAACCTGGTGTCAACTCCCAAAGCATCCCTGGCCTGCTCTCGAGTTGCCATAGCAAAGGGGGATGGGAAAACGAACTTGGAAGGCAGCACGTCAGTCAAAAACAAAAGCACATTCCAGCCATATCTCTGTCAAGGTAATCTCCCAGGGTTATCCACAGTAGCCAGAGGGGAGTGATCGCTACAACCCCTGAAATTGCTTTGTTGGAGAATGTGACTGATTACACACCTGGGGGGGGGGCGGGAAACAGGGTCCGAACTGGGCCGTAAATTACGTGGGGTCAGAGCTGGCTTCACTTGACGCTCCTAATAAATAACTGGATTTCTTTTGAAGCTTGGCTCTAGGCTCATGATTTAATTAGGGCATCGGACACCTAGGTTGCAAAAA